GAACCACACAGGGAAAACGTTAACTGACTCCCCATCCTTCCAGGAAATCCAATAAATCACATTTTGGTGACTCACTTTATGAAGATACCAGTTTTATTCAGCTGAGACTGAGAGCCTGGAGTAGTTCCAGTTCTCACGTGAAAGGTAACTTTAATCTTTTCCATTTTGATTTCACATTATATGTATTTCAAAGAATGCTTTAATTCTAATTTAGGGACACTTTTTTTTTTTAATAGGCAATGGAAAATATTGAAAGAGTTGCTCTCAAATGCACCCAGTCCAAACAAAACTGATTTGGCAGTTCACCTGGAATTACTATTTCTGTTTAGAGAAAATCTGCTTGTAGGAGAAACAACTGAAACCTGCTTTTCTGACAGCAAATTACCCTTACAAGAGATTCTTTTTTCCTCCTACCTACACACCTTCAGGCTTCTACAGTTCATTGTCTTCACCAAAACAGAAAGGGCTGGAATGAGCTGGGTTCAGCGTAACCCAGCGCGAAGCGGCAGCGACGCTGAAGGAGGCTCCGAGCAGCGTGATGTGTGAGATGAGGAAGGTTTTTACACCGGTGAGTCCCAGGGTCTGGCGCGTGTCGCAGCTCAGGACGCAGCATGGGACACGGCGCTGCTCCTGCGTCCAGCTCTGGCCTCACAACCCCTTCCACAGTTCTGCACCAGCTCAGTAACCACAGCTCTGCTGTGGCTCCTGCGTGACCAAGAATTTAAAAATCTGTTTAGTTGCAAAGAGTCTCTGTGTTTTCCAACGTGTCTATTTCAACACTGCTAATTCTACGTTTTCCCTTTTGTTTTGGCAAATTATTTGCATATTAAGTTTGTGTTCATAGTTTTTCCAGGACTGTAAACAAATTAAAGAAATTAAATTGTTATTTTATGAATCAATACAATAAAGGTATTTTTATTTACATAAATGTTACATTGTTACTGCGTGGATACATGTGAATTATGTGCTATATCAATAAAATCTGAACACTTAATTGTACCATTCTCTAATAATTTAGCTGTGGAGTTTGATTTACTGAAAGCCACTAACAAAATTGCACTAGAGGATTTTATTTTATATAGTGGATATACTTTCTTTCCCCCCCCTGTAAAGCCACTTACGGATTGTTAATTTCTAACATACACCAGGGATCCAAAACTGGGAAGTTTAACTGGAGATGCACCCAGCCCTCCAAGGAGCGCCCGGGTGACATCAGGCCCTTCTTGCCCGACTCTCTGCTCGCCTCCAAGCCCTCTGCACGCTCCCAGCCCGCGTCTGCAGCACCCAGCGCTGCCCCTCGCCACGGCATCGCATAGCAGCATGTCCTCACAGCCGTCCATCGCCGACACACGACTGCAGCTGACAAGTCTTTCACAGTGACAGCAATTTCAGTTTTGTGTAACCCCCAGGGACGAACCCTTACGAACTAAAACCCCTTGGAAGTTCTGCGAGACGGGTCTGACCGCAGGTGCCTGCGCGGATACCGGGAATTGCACCGCAAACATTCAAACGTAACCTGGATTTGACACAGTGTCAGTTATTTTTCAATTCATGTACCTTAAGCAAACATTACTGTTTTTACATCACTGCTTGGGCAGCACAAAAGCAGCTTTGCCAAACACCAGAGCTGGAAGTTAATTCATTCATTACATTTTCCCCTCCATACCTCACGGGTTATTCTGCCAGGAATTTCTCAAAGGTGCATATTGTTGGGAAGGGCAAAACTAAAGTATATGCTAAATGGAAGAAAGAAGCAATAAATTTTCAACACTGCTACAATGACAGCGTAATAGTCAGTTCTCGGTGATTTTCTTTCCACTATACAACCTTGTTTAGTGCAGTTAAAGTACAGCAACAAAAAATTTGCTTTGGAAAAAAGCCAGTTTGTCCCATCTGGTCCATATACAGTCCAAGTATGTGAAGCTATGGTCTGGGGAATGGAAGAGACTCATGCAGCCTCCTTGTCCTCTCAAATTTATTGCTAATTACTAGAAATTTAATCTAATCCACCACTTCTGGTTAAGCTCATTGTACTGCGGCTATCATAAGTTTCTTTTAAAGTATGGTAAAAAAAAGTCCACAGCTAAAAAATCTTACAGGTTTGAATTAAAACCAGGATTAGAGTAACTTCCCCCAGCTCCCAAAGCCACCACCTCGAAAAGTGTGCAAACGGGATTAAGGATTAACACTTTCCTTTAGAGAAGAAACAAACAAGGCAGATAACAGAAGCAAAGTAGAACTGTCCGTGGGAAATGGCTTTCGTAGCTGGACAAGGTGCAGCTCGGCAGCGCTCAGGAACTCCACACCTCCCTCAGCCAGAGTCCCTCAGGATCGGCATGAGCGGTTCCCAAACACTGGCTTCCATCAAAAGCAGAAGGAAAGAAACGAAGGCATGAAAATTCAGGCAACGTTCAAGAGTTGATCATCTGGCAACACAGCTGACAGGATGGGAAATTTAAAAATTAAGTGCAGCATCACAACCGGTGGAGGGTCCCTTGGGAGAGCCCTGTGTATGTCAGTCAGTTTCCAAAACAAAACAAAACAAAAAGAAAAGAAAAAGAATTAAAAAGAAAGAGTCACACAATCTTTTTGATGCTGTGACGTTTGAAACTGCCGGCACTTCGCTGCTTTTGCACTTGGCTGGCGGAGCCGTGGCGCATCCTCCCGCTGTTGGAGTGTCCGGCGGTGGGAGAGAGCTCCACGTTCTCCTTGTCGATCCCTGGGGAAACACAAGGACCGAGGTTAACCCCGCCGCTGCGGCCCCTCCTCCAGCTCAACAGCACTTTGACATCACGGCGGCTTTTCCTGCGGGGACACAGGCGGTGCCGGGGACCCGCCCGCGCTGGGGTCACGGTCTGGATGAAGACGGGCTGATGCGGCCGCTGGTCTCCCCGCACTGACAAGTGTCAGCTCCTTCCAAACAGCATCTGGCAACGCAAAGCTGCAGCAGCAGCGCATGCCCAGGAAAGTGCTGCAGAACCTGGTCACCAGGTGTTTTAAAAAAGCCCAAGGATGGTTTGTAGGAGCTGAGCCCCAGGAGGTACCCGAGCACCACACAGCCGCTCGCTCGTTCCCCCCCAGCCCCAGCGGGGCAGGAGAGGAGAGGAAGAGGAAAAGGCAAGAAAACACGGGGGTAGAGATTGAAAAAACTTGAATTGTACGTGAGGGAAGAGTGGAAGAAGAAAAGAAGAAAAAAACCCAAACAAAATACGTGATGCAAAGGCCACCGCTCGCCATCCCTGGTGGGCAGAGTGGTGCCAGCCAGGCCCCAGGTAAAGCCGGCCAACTGCCCCAGCGCCGCTCCGTCCCCTCCCCTGTCACCCCAGTGAGCTGGGCCCCCTCCAGCCCACTGCCCACTCGGCTGCTCACAGGGCTGAGGGAGGATCACAGCAGGGCCTGCCCTGCACCGACACAGCTCAGCACCCTGCCCTGCACCGATACAGCTCAGCACCCTTCTGGTTGCAAACCTAAAACACAGCCCCATGCCAGCTGCTGTGAAGAACATTAACTCCACCCCAGCCAGGCTCAGGACACTATTTCAGGCAGATGTACTATCACCTTGCTGTCGATGATGTCTCACCATACAGCTATTCTGTATTTTTCAGGATCAGATGTATGACCCTGTGTGCAGTGAGAGCCCAGAGGCTGACCAGGTAAAACACCTCCACGTGCTAAAGTGCGATGCCCACACACAGATATCTGCGCACTCACCTACACATCGCTTATCACATCTCAACAGGACTCGTTCAAATCATCTTCTTTTCTCTCCCCTTAAAGCAGCAGATTGAATTTGCTGATAGCAACAATAAAAGACAAAATACTTTGGCCTATGGGCACTGGCTACTACTGCGCTACTTTCCGACAACAGCAGGAAAAGAGACGGTCTGAACTGCTCACCCAGCTCACCTGGTCAGCTCTTAAATCAGAAAGAGGAATTGTATTGAATATGGGAAATAGCATAAACAGTCACATGGCAGATGAAGGGATCCCCTCCATCCACAAAGCATTCGTACCAGCATCTGCACCCACTGAAAACACTCAAGTCTTCCAGGCCACAAAGCCCTTTCTGGCTCTAGTTTTAAGAAGACTGAGCACATGAAAGAATTTGACTCAAGTGTCTTCTTGACTCAAGAATCTTCAAGTATCTTTACATTCTCTAGGAGGAAGAGCTGACAGACTGTCAAATCTACGGGCTCCTTCCAGCTGAAAATCAGTGACTGCTGTTAAACAAGAGTGAGGAAGGTTCATTTCTGAACCTGCAAAGTTCTCCTGCAATGCCAGAGGCTCGTTCTTCCCACCAGAGAAGATTCAAGTACCTAGAGATCCCCACAACACCCAACCTTGGCTCACAAATAGAGATCAGTAAAGGTACAAGACATACAAATCAGTGTTTGGAGGACTTTGTCTCATTGCCAGGGGGCATGAAAGGCTTAACTGCCTTATTTTGCATACAGCAGAAATAGAACTGCTGCAGGTATCCACTTGGAGAGTGAATTGTCAAAGTACAGGAAACAATTACAATGATCTAAACACTGCCAAATTGAGATATATCTATCTATATATATCTATATATATATATATATATATAAAATCAACAATTAACTTGACAAGGACAACTAAAAAAAACATTTTCTAAGCAGGGCATTACCAGGAAACACACACAGAGCAGGTGGGTCTGGAAATCTTTACAAGAACTGCTATAAGCTCAGCTCCACCAAAGGCAGGAGGAGGCTGATGGAGAACAAGATGAGGATGAAACCAGACAGGCTTCATACCCATTGCATGTGCTTTTCTGAGAAGCTTTGGATGTTCTCTGCAGGACAAGGTAACTCTTACATTCTGCTAAAAGAATCACATCAAACAAACCTCAAAAATGAATTGCTTTAGTGTGAACTTCATGCTGACATGATGACAACACATGAAAGCCTTGGGTTATGAGCCGTTCCTCTAACAGCTTTGGACACAGTAATGTGAAGATATAAAAGCTGAGACTTCTGTTTAATGCAGGCATGCTTCCAATCAATTACTGCTGACGCTACTATGAGTTAATAATTCCTGCAGCAATAGCTTAGTGTAGCTGTCACATTATTTCTGCAACAAAATGAATGCATTTGATGTGTGTTGAGCAACACTCTCACCGCTTATGGTACCTGTGCAGCACTGGAGTGAAGAGCAGGAAGGGTGTTTTTATGCGAGAGGCTAAAAGTACAAGCAGCAGCAAAAACTGGGATGTCTGACAGCAAATAAAAGGTTAGAACAAAATCCTATTAGTATGAAGGATTCCTCCCACAGTTCTGTCTCATTCCTCTAAGAAATTGATTCTCATTGGCATTAACAAGAATAAATAATACACCCCACATTTCACACACGTATAGGGACAATTTTAAAACTCCAGCCAGAGGCTGGCTGCAGGCTACATCATCCTTCCTCTCCTTGTGTGGGTGAACTTACAGAAACCACCAAACTACGATGAGAACAGGAAGCAACCCACAGGTGTGGGCAAAAAACCCTCTTCTGCAGCTTTTTCTTATTTCTCCATATAGAAGCAGAAATCAGATGGTGTCGAGCACCCATTTCGTTGAGCTCCTGTCTGCTGCAATTTAGTCCAAAGAACTCGTGCCTGTTTTCCCGTGCTGTGTAACTGAAGTTAAAGCTGACTTCCTGTGAATCTAAAGAGCTCACATGAAGTAGTTCTTCATTTTAGCTTAATACCTGCAGCAGAGTAATTTCACATACCAAGAATCCACTTCTCTATTACCACATTTATCTTGTTCTTAAGGATGTGACTGCCTGTCTTTGCCTGCTCTATCATCAGATATTATTAGCATCACGCAAGAAATGCAGCAGCTGAGTGCTAACACTGAAGCCATTCCCGTGTCAGAAGGATCAGTAAAACCACTTCTCATGCCACCAGCCCAACCCTAAAGCACATCAAGCAGTATTTCATGCAAATATGATGAAAGTAGTGTACCTTGATGAGGAAGCTGCATGAAAACTGCAGATTTAGAGCAAGGCAGAGAAGCTTCACAGACACAGAATGAAAGAAAAAAAAGTAAGTGAATAATGTCCATGACAAGGGGAAGAGGAGGGAAGGAAAAGGTAATGATGACAGACAAAACAGGTACAAACAATGATCTTGCCTAGTGGTTTTCAGATGCAAGAAAATAATTTTTCATGTATCTGCAACTTAATGTATTTGTAACCATAATAAACAACTCACTTGGCTGAAACCGCTTCTTTAACTCAGTGTGATGAAGTAACTCCGCACTGATAAATACTTGATTTTCTTGCTCAGCAGTTCTCCAGTCAGAGTAAGTGGATGACTGATCTGCATCCATTACTAGTCCCATAGTTGCCTTGCTGTTTCGAGAAATCCTGTGGCCCCGTCTTTCCTGCATATTCTACAATTCTTTCACCAGTTATTTTTGTGGTGGCAGTTACTAGGTTTTTCACTGCTTACTCCCTCGCTCTTGCCTCTGTGTGTACAGCAATGACGACGCCTCACACACCTCTAGGCACAGTTAACGAGAATGCAAAATTCACGTATGCAGGTATGGAGCTGTTTACGGTACCAGAAGATCAATTAAATTTTTAATACAATTAAACCGCTTAAAAAGCAAAGCACGTTTTATGTGAAGTTGCACTGGTTGTCATACCAGTTTAAACTAGTGAAACTGTATGTGATTAAAGTGGAGCAATGTCATAAACGTGGGATGAAGGAGCAAAATGAAAAGCTCCATGCTGTGACCTGGTCCACAGTTTGAGAAAGCTGGAGATCCCCTGATCAAACCCCAAGTCTCTGTATTCAAATTGCTAGAATGAAGTGAGAACTCAAGGAAATAGGCAAGACACTAATAAATAGTAAGAGAGGATGGGAAAATACCACTTAGATTAAATGTTAAGCACAAGGCTTTCATAAAGTAGTAACCACTTAAGGCTGTTTCACACTAGCTGGAAACACCTACAAGGCTGATGGAAAAAATGGAACTATTAGTCATCCCTGGCCTTCAGAATGGTCTTTTAAAATTTAATTTACAAGCAAACCATCAGAGAGTGTCATAAATGCATTATTACAGACTCACTAGTCTGAACCAGGTAACAAGTTCACTAGCTCCTCACTCCATCTGAGGAGATGGGCTCTTAACCACCATTTGATAAAAGCCATCTGTTTGTAGAACACTTCATAGAAATTTCTGAGGAGCTGGATTAATTCCTTCCTCTTATCTATCAAAGGAAGAAGGAATAGAAAAAGAGCAAAAAGTGGTAATCACCTTTCACTGCATAAAATAAAATAGAAATCACTACTCCAAAGTTATTCAGACACAGAGCACTGTCTGACGTTGCACCACGGCAAAACTCATCATACTGAACAAGAACCACGCGTAGCATCTGTGAGCAAATGGATAGTCTGGAAGACCAGATTTCTTGAGCAGAGCTAAGTGCAGCTAAGTCGAGCTTATTTCAGGGCTGGCAGAAACCAGTAAACAAGAGAGTGAAAAAACCCAAAACACCTCCGTAAATACACCTAAATACAAGTGGTGTGAGCCTTCCATCAAGGTCAGAAACAAAGCAGAAAAAAAAAAGGGATGATCGACTTCATTGTTGAGAACTGCAATAGTTAAACCATCATTTAAGAAATATCACACAGTATAATTTTTATGACAAAGAAAAGTAGAGAATTTCCTTGATATACGAGACACTAATCCAAAATCACTTCAGGAAGATTTCTTTGACATAAATTACATTTTCTTCCCATTTAATTTCCTCTGGCTTACACTTCATCTGCTATACTGAGTAATTTATACTCTCTTTTTTCATTTTTTTCCCTGGAAAGCACAGTTCTGGATTATTTTTTCTAATATGTGCTACCTTGCAGTGCCCAGATAGGTATTATCCTCCTTGCAAAATATAATTATTATACATTTATATTTATTAATTTTCAAGGCTCTGCTGCTGCATGTGTTCTGTATTAAGATGCAGCTGTTATTCGTTCTGATGCACTGAATGCTATTTCCTTCACGTATAACGACCTGGAAGAGAGGTTTTGTGCTGGACAAAATCCAACATCTGAAATACCAGTGAAACAGCAAAGTCAACAGTTTGATATTCATTTGACTCAAGAACGCAATGATGGTTGATGCATCAACACATCCCGAGAGACAACGAGGCTGAGTACTTGGCTACAAAACCAGTGAATTCAATGCCTTTCCCTTACCTACGCAGTACAGAACAGCTACTGACCTGGGGAGTGCTGGGAAGTCGCGAGCGAGGTCATGGAATTGGAAAGGTTGAGGTTAGCAGTGATGCTGAGCTGGCTCTGCACGGCAGGAGGATATGGAGATGTGGGTGTCAGGAGAGATTCTTCACTGGTTTCCTCATCAATTCCAGGCAAATACGTGTCAATCAAGGCATCAAGAAACTTCACGATGAGCTCAGCGTAGTCTGGGATTTGTGTTTGCTGCGGGTGATCGGGGGAAAGAAAACCAACAGATTGGTTCTTGTCTTTCTACTTCTCCGTCAAGATGAGCTTTGCCCCAGCACTCACTCTAATCACACTGGTTTTGCCCCAAAATTTTAACAAGCATTTGATGTGAGTATCTGTAAAAACTGATTTGTGGTCTTTTCCAGATCAGTCTAAATGTACATATGAAAGACCACTTGTAGGTGTCACTCCAGTAGCACGTGGAAGTGCGAGGTCAGGAAAGAGGCCGTTCCATCCACGAGCTGAGCTGCCACCACTACCTGCGCCTGACACGTTACTGAAAGCACAAACTCTGCCCCAAAGCCCAACGCCCAGAATGCTGCCTGCTCTGCTCATCTCCTTCTTGTTACGATGACAGGAGGGAACAAATGGCATTACAGACGGTCAGGGCTCGATTTATTTGTTCTGTTGTAACAGAGAATTTATCCTTATGGAATTATCACTCTTCTCAATTTAATCCCTTACGCTGTAAGACGCACACGATGAACTCACGACTTTCTGAATCGCACTGCACATCCCAGGCCCCTCAGTCAACCTGGGAGCACTGAAAAGCATTTACACACCTGGCTGTTTTTACTCAACTTCAGTAATTTAACCTTCAAAATATCTGATGCAGGCTCAAAAACTGCTTTAGCTATAAAAGTGAACTTTACATTATTAACATGCTCATATAAATTCTATGTCTTGTCACTTATCCACATCTTTCCTGGAGCATCAAATGCTTTATACAGAAAATGAAGGCAAAACACTGATGAGCTTCCACAGAGTCTACTGTTCTTACCTTAGAAAATGGGCCAGCAAACCTCCAGAGCCCATTAAAGCCAAAACCTGCAACAACACATGGAGTGTTACACAAAAAACACAGTTCTCAGCTGACAGCAAACAACTAGAACGCACACACCGTACATCACCTGGATTTCCTGAGGCACTATTAGTGCTGCAATAATTCCGAAACATTTTCAGTAGTAAATTTAACTTAAAATACAGCAGGTTTTTGTTTTTTTTTTTAAAAAAAGGAAAAATATTTACTCTGCAAATAAGAAGTTTGGTATTGGGGTGGAGACTCTTCATGGTAGACAACACTCTGAACAATCCCATGAATTGGATTCAACAAATTTGGATCCTGGCACAGCGATAAAAGGGTATTGATCTTGGAATCCAATAAATTATGCCTGAAGAAAAGAGAAGTGGCTTATTTTTTGTTCATTAAATAATTCTGCCGTTCCCAACCGACATTAGCAAACAACAGTTGAAGTGGGGTTTTCAAAATCTCAGGGATTTTAGAAGTACTAACCAATTCCTGTTTATGTTCAGTGAGGACTCTCACAATCTATAACACTTTCAAAAAACTGTAGTACTAACAATATAACCCATTAAAGCATTTACCTAGCATTTTAAATTGCAAATATTTTAATTATTTTCAACAAAAAAAATATTCACTGGATCTGTGTACATGTCAGAGCTGGAATTGCAAAACAGCTTTTTCAACTTGGGCGAGTACTGTCTCATTTGAGCTCCCCTGCAGATCTCAGGCATGGCTGGTTTATTAATACAAATGCCAGTTACTCACAATTGCGGTTCCAGTAACTCACAGAACTCGTGTGTACTTTGACCATTACTTTATGAAGCCAGCAAAAGGTGGCATTCTTTTTAAATCATGCTCAGGGCAGTTTTAAAAGTCTACTCATCTTCATTACTAATAGCTGAGTTTCCCTTACGTATATTGGCTCCAGCAAATACTGCTTTTGACAGATATCTGAATAAATACATCCAAAGAGTATCCTGAACTGTGCTTTACATCGGTTTTGTTATATACTTGGGGTACTAATTAAAAACTTGAGTCTGACTGAGGTGAAAATAATATTTAAGATCTTGACTTGTATAGAAAGACGTATGAAGATATTAAAAAGTAATTGGATTCTGAGCAGTATCAAGTCAGTGACAAAGCCACGCTAAGTCACCAGGCCAGAGTAATGGCAGCAATGGTGCTGACAGCTTTTGGAAGGAGCCGATGGCTCCAGGAGGAGCCAGTCTCCCTAGCAACAGTGGTGCAGAGCTCACCCACACTCTGCCAACCTGCCTGAAGATCTGAGGCTGAGGAGCGCTTCTGAGGACCATCTGTAGCAGCGGGGTCTGAAGATGCCTGTTCTAGTAAGAACATTACATGCATTTAACACGGGGGAAAAGGACGACTCTCAAGCTGCTGGGGACATTTGTCTCAACAAGGCAGGGACAGATTGCAGCTAGTAACCTACAAAGGAGTAAATATCTGACACGCTTGTCCTAGTCCAGAGACCTTTTAAGGAATGGCCAAGTACAGAGTCATCACAAACAGAGTTTTAGATACTTACACAACAGGAAAGACCTTTGGGAAGACAACACTGGCTTCTGCTAAATACTCATACAGAATCCGCTGGTCAAACTCGTCAGTAGTGTACTTCACTAACGTTGCCTGTCGCAATGGAAAGGATGACATTAGCACGCTTCTCATTTCATTTGAGTGCTTACAGGCTTTTCTTGTGTTGTAGTTTAAGGTTTTAAGATTTCTGAATAGCTGAAAGCAGCATCACAAAGGATTTATTTATGTCCTCTTTGGACTTATGTGTATGTCAGAAACAGTTTATTTTCTGGCAAAGAAAAAAATAATCATCTAGTCAGTTTTTGACTAAAGTGGGCAACTGAGTCTTTCTGAATTCTCTCAGGAATGGTAACTGAAGAAAGCACTATCATACTGTAGCTATATAGCTAGTTAGTAATTTTTAAACTGAATTGTGCTGGGATTCTAACAATTTTCACTTCTTAACACTTTAAGTATAATATATTAATATCCTTTTCTTATATAAAATTAGTTTATGATAAAAATCTACCAGGAAAAAGAGACAACTGTTGGACACGTTCTACAAAACAATATAGAATAATTCAGTATTTGCTCTCAAAGAGCATTTAAATACATTTCTAAAAGTGATTCCTAGAAAGCTGTAAGAATGGCAACAAAAGAACAGACTTGCATATCACAGTGATTGTGTTCCATAAGAATTTCGAAACGCTGCAAGGAACATCCATGGAGCTTTGGAAGACAAAAGACTATCAGAAAAATAACAAGACAATAGACAGAAAGAAAGCTTACAAGAACTGTAAGCAGCAGTGCTTGAATTTTTGGGTCAGTCAGAACTTCTTCATCTAGGAGGACATTTGACTCAGAAACGGAAACTTTTCGGAGATGTGGGTGTTGCTGTGGTGATATTCTCTGGGTTTCTGCCAGATAAAAAAAAAGAGCAACTCATCCAAAGCAAAATAAATCCAAACCAAGACACAATTAGCTCTTGCACAGCAAACTCAGTCCTGTGCAAACTTCAGAGTTCACCAGCCTTTTCATAAAGGATAAACCCAACAACTGTGCTGTCACAGCAGCAGCGCCAGCCCGTTACATGGGATGTATTACCAAATGGCAAAGAACAACCCCAATTTCCTCTTCAGTGAAATACAGGCCCAGGGGTGGCAGGTACCATACTGAGGGTCAGGCAGCGACTGACATCAGATACAGCAAAGAACCCTGGTCTTGCATTGCAATTGGGGATGGGGCACAGAAAGCAGATGTGGGAGAAGATGAAGAGAGGCATTCTAGGCATCAGGACACGTTCCATCTCCTGCAGAAATGTGCAGCTAGGGCTTATTAATTCATAGAAAGCCAAATTTTATTTATTCCATTTCACTCCTGTTTGCAGTAGGTTAGAGCTGCCCTTTATTCCGCATCTGCAAACTGAGCAGCTCCAATTCAAACCTCACTTGCCAGTGATATGGAAGACTGCACTCTCCAGAAGCCACCATTAAGGAAGATATTTCTCCCTTACCTTGTAGTACCCTAGGCAAATAAACATTGAATTTAGAAATAATCCTTTGTATATATATACAAAGCATTTATAATTAGTATTATTCTTAAAATCTTAGTCCTGTTTCTCACCCATGTCATAATCATTTTCGGCTACTCTCCTCATTTTGGGAGGCGTTGTGATTCCAGATTCCATGTCTTGCCTTTTAGGAGCCTTTGTGTCCGATATCAAATGGTCAAAACTTTTCCTTGTACCTAAAAACAATTTATCAGGCAATTAAAAACATTAAACCTAAATCCATATTCTAACTATTTCTGATTTTCTGGCCAAGCTGCTCTCCTATCTACAACATATTGACAGGAATCTGGGGACATTTTCACCATTTTCGGGGATGGTAGAGACAATACAATCACACCATGCCGCTCTCCATCACAGTTTCCAAAATGCTTCACAATACACATGAGGAAAACATGCAATTTATTCTAATATGTGAGCTGTGGGCATGCTATGGTTTCCTGGTCAACACATCCCATCGAATACACACGCCAGAATGGGATTACTGCAAAGGAAGCAGTAAGAGGACTGTAATGAAAGAAAAGCCCCTCTTCTTCCACAGAAACCGTAGGACATGGAAGGGTAACCACAAGTTATGCGAAGCAACCCATATTGTTTCTCTGATATTAAGACTTTGCTTGTAAACATGATGCACTGAGTAGCCATGAATAACAATCAGATCGCTTCCAAAACATCTAAAATGTTTTGGGACCATCTCTTCTAGCATAAGATAGAAGGTTCAATACAGTAGCTAAGCTGAGCTACCCAGCTCCTTGGTTTTGTTCAAAGAGGGCTGGTGGCAGAAAATCAGCAGTAGGGCTCTTCAGTGTCTGCAATATCTCTTTTCATTTTTTTTTTTCTTTTTTTTTTTCTTTTTTCTCCACTTCAACTTGCACATTTTGAGTATCACTCTTGCCTCCCCCCCTTCGTGATGAAAAGAACTGTTAGGCCTCTTTAACTGCAGTGTTCTCTAATTTGTATTGTGTAGAAACTGCATGTATTCCTCTGAATTGGGAATAAGCACTGAAAGTCAGAATAAATAGAAGTATAATTTTTCTTCAGTAACATTTCCTGAGGTATTCTGCAGACGAGTTAGAAAATGAGTTATCTTAATAACCTAGAAGCTTTTTAGTGTTCGCTTGTGAAGGCTGCCCCATATCCAAACTCATGGATTTTCGTGTTCGAGGGCTTATCTGTCCCACTGTCGGGTAACTGGCAGCCAGATGTCTGTCTGACCCCTTAGGTGATGACCATGGTTGATTTTCCTTTAGTGTCCTGAAAGAACAGAGAAATTAAATTAAGAAAATCTTTAAAACTATGCACATTTAGGCATAAATTTTTCAACTCTTTATTAAACCCGTCTTTCCTAACAGGTTAATCTCCCAAAAATATTTATTAAGAAACAATCATTACTTTGCTTGCAAAAATATCTGAGCTAGTGAAAACTAACAATCTGATATGCATCTAATGCTGAAGAGAAAAAATAAAGCAATGAAAAGAACACAAGCAAATCAGCCCATGAGGCAAGATGAAAGATATTTAATCATCAGCTACTCCACACCGGATGCTAAAAAGAGAGATACTGAGTAAAGTGCTCCCTATTGAGAGAACCCGGCTCTCCATGTCACTTGGAGGGTGATTTCTCAGCTTATCTCCATGGCTGCTTATAGACAGGCTATAGGGTGTCAAGATTTCCCAATAACAGTGTGATTACAAAGTACAAGCCTTGAAGCTCTTAGAAGGACAAGCAAAACTTTCTTCTACAATATACATGAAAAATGAGGTGACATGAAGTCTTGTAGAGAAAAGTTAGCAAAGAGGTTAAGAACCTCCAGTTAAGTTATTTCAGTTGAGTTCTGCAATAGCTTTACCGATCTCAGAATTAAACCCACAGGAACCCCCAAATTTCTCTGTGACTCTTGCCCACAGTATCACAGCACAAGTAGCGTGTTGGTCTGGAACCAGTAACAGAACATTAACAGCCTGATGAACGTGCGTTTCAGTTTTCAATACACCACACGTTACCTTTAGAGAACTTACTAAAGTAAACAGACATTGAGACTTGGTAATGTAGCTAAAAGTCAGACAACCAACCTATAGCTAGTGTCACTGTGATGTATGGGATATGTATCCATAGGAACATTTTCCATCGAAACGTCTGTCAACAAGAGAGACTTCCTGTGTTTTAGGCTGCAGCGACTTCGAACTTCCTCAGATACTGTCAGCAATGCTAAAAATTCAAAGAAAGCTAAGGTAAGTTTTCCACAGTAGGAATACACTGAGGAATGTAAGCAATATTCCATCAATTTAGGTTTTTTACTGAGTACAGAGACAACCTGTGAGATGTAATTACACCTTACTGAAATGTACAGGCTAAAAGTAAGCCAGTTAAAAAGAACTATATTCCCCATCCAGTTACAATTACAGATTTAAACATTTGCCCTCACATGGTGACAATTTCTATTTCTAGACCACTAGAAATTTGAATGTTCTAAGGCACAAACTTCAGTATTTAAACCAAGAACCCTTCAGCCTCCCTGAAGTAGTTTCAAAGTCGCACGGTAGGTCCTGCGCTGGGAAGCCTTCAGTCCACAAAAAACTTTAACTGATGGACCCCAGCCTCGCTCAGACTCCTGTCCACCCCACTTACAAGTTTCTTTTATGATGGTACAATTTTATCAATCTAAAGTTGTAAGATTTCCCAGAATAATCCATTCCTTTTCAGTTAGCAGAAATTTAAAAGAATATTTGTTTTTTTAACTTTTACCTGCTAGGTAAGCCACGCTCTGGGTGTTCACCTCAAACTTGTCACAGTTCCTGTGTTTGTTAACCAGAGTTAGTAGTGTATGTAAAATCCTTACTGTTCTTGCTACAGTGGTAGGAGAAGGATGCCTGTACCCTAAAAATGAGGTTAAGAAACCAAACATTGTATTGAATTTTAATGTGTATTTATGAAGCGTTAATATTTTGAAAATATTTATAAATATTTTTCAGCATGTTCTCAGGAAACTTCATGTAAAGGGTAAAGAAGCACAATGCTAACAGAAATTGCACATTCAAGACTAACTTTTTCTGTCCCTCTCCCCAAAAATAATACAATTTCAAATGTCTGTGCCTATATTATATCTGTTACGTCACAAATGAAATCTTCTGAAAGAAACAGTGAGCCTGAACACAGGCAAACACCCACAGACAGTATTCTTGGGGGAAGCAGTGAAGAACACGTCCATGGGAAACCTGGCAAAGTCCTTTAGTCAAATAACATTTAATCCTGTATTTATTCAAACCCAAGTGACTTTAAATCCACCACCCATTTTTTCCTCTTTATCCTAGGCCTTGTTTTTATTTCTGAATTAAGAGTGCTCATCTAAAATGAACAGCAACATGTGTTCTTACCTTTCAGGAGGTGTCCCACTAGTGCAAAGTTAAAGTTGGAGTTGAAATTTAGCCCAACAAAATGGTCCATCTGCTTGCAGTGCCATTCCAATGGCCTCCTGATCTCCATAAACACTTCTTCTGGGCTCTGATCCAGAAAAAATAAAATACAGGAGTACCTCATTGAAAGTTACTCATCATACAAGTGACAAAACAGTAATTTTAAGAGTTTACACGACAATAGCAAACACACTCTTGACTAAAGCACATCTATACATTTCTGTTCCAGTTAGAAGAGAAAAACAAGAGCTTTATCTCTACATCTTGGTTTTACTAAGATAAAACTAACTGTGTTGGTATTATGCAAGTGAAACAGTTTCTAATGGAAACTTCAGTTTTAGTTGCTTAACTACTGTCCACGAGGACAAGGAATTTGTTTCTTTTTTAACAGCTCTAACCACTTCCATGAGCTGCAGGGTTAGTCACAGCTGCCTGCTCACTGCTCACCTTGTCATTGAACACCCGAAGGCTGTCCAAGGTGTGCAGGTTCTGCTCTAGCAGAGCTGTACCTGCTGAGTACAAGTTCACTTCATCCAGCTGCAGCACTGCCATGGCTACCCAGAAAAGGGCCTTGTGCATAGGAGAGTCCTAGAAGGAAAAGGAAAGAGTCACAATTTCACTGTCAAGCCAGTTCCTGCAAGTCAGAGACAAGTAAGACTGACACATGGCTTTGCATATGCATTGCTATCCTCCCTGTAGCAGGTTCTGTCCTCAATCACATCTATTCCATCATCACAGATGTACGTACCAACCTATAAGTCTTAATGCACTTAACAGGTGAACAGGAGAAAGCAAATTCATTTCCAGCCTTTCATGCCCCTCACAGCCATTCCTTCTCTCTTTTAATCCTTCCCTTGCTCACAAAAATGTCAGACACATAGACCAACACACCAGACTGAACAGAACCATGTCTTTTGGTATCAATTTGAGAGCCCCCATTGAGAATGGATTGCAACTCTGCACATGTAACTGCCCAGGCAATTTCTTCTCCAAATCAGAAAAGCGTGCAGGAAAGAACTGGCACGCAACAAACCCTGGGTCTCTTCAGCAGCAGATTTTTCTAGGAACAAGTTTTCTTTACTAACAATAAACACACGAGGCTCTTCACTAACAGCATACCCACTGCTATGCTATCAAATAATGAACGCGAAAGGAACACGTGGATGGCTAACGTCACACCAAATCGGGGCAGGCTCACATTTATCACACGCCATGATCTGAAGAGCAGATATTGGCAATGAAACATTTGAAAGCCAAGACTGAAAATCTCCTGGAAAGACTTAAGCCAGCCTGTGCAGGGCCTCTGCCCCGGCCCAGTCTGACGCAGCAGCCCAGAACATCCGGAAGCATTTCCAAAGCCTTCGCACAGGTCCTACATCCAAACATCTGTGACCTATGTCCCATCTGTAGTACTCAGGCGTGAGTCACAGCAGTGAAGTGTGAACTTCAGATACCACAACACTTACATTTTTGAGATTATACCCATAATTATAATGTCATTTACAAAATATGTTCTCTGTTTACTCTGAAAATCCAGTTGTTTACCTTATTAAGAAGAGGCTGCAGCTTGGTGAGTGCGATAACTGTAGCTTCTATTAGAACTTGGCTGTTGTAATTATCGGGGCCTTTTAAACAGCTCTCAAGTCCCTTGTTGCAGGAGAAAAAAAGACAGTAATTAAAAATACAATCATAATTCGATTTTGCTTTGTAAAAAGAAGATCAAAGCTTTAAACAATAATTGTTGCTCTCAATTTACAAAGCTTGAGCTCATTTTAAACCAATTCTCAAGGACTGTTACAAATGGAGATTTACACGAAGCGATGTATGTATTGCTGAAAGCGACTGCACAGTGTATTAAAAAATCAAGGGTGCAGGACAGGGTGCAAGAATTAGATAACAGCTCTTTTACAATTCAGATGCTGTTCAATTAATGGTTTTGTCCATAAAGTTCTAATAAAATGCTTCAAGGAAATATATTTAGCACACTGTTTACTTGCTATGAAACACAATCTTCTTTAGAAAACAGGGAACATCATTACCAAGCCAGGCAGCCTGCTTCAGAGTTTTCTTATATGAATGCCCTGCTTTTTATTGTCTTTACTTGTAACTCATTAGATTATTGACTTCCTTTAAAAAAAGAAAGACATTGTGAATCATGTACATGCAGCTAAATGCCTTAACAGAAAAATTCACATTTATTTAAATAATGACTCTTCTGGATCAATCTCACAGTGTCTCAAATTTTAAACTCAATATTGAAAACTATTGTTACTCGAGAAGTCGCAGCACTGATGAAACTTATTGCCACCAAATCGATTTAAGGTACATGGGTCTATTACCTTGCTAAGAATTCGGATTATTTGTTTTATTTGTCCATGAGAGACACGTTTACTTATACAGCCAAAGACAACAAGTGCTCTGGGCTGCAGGGATGGGTTATATTGGAATGCAAACCTGCAAAGAAACAGAGTACATGGGATTAAAAAGGCAGTATAGTGAGAAGCTGAGAATTCTAAATACACGACAGAGGCGGGCAGGGGTTATGTTTTGAGATCTACAACATACTTCTGAGCTAGTTCAGTCCACTGGTCCAGCCACTTGCACGTTGGAATATCCCTCATACAAGCCTAAAAAGAATCATATTGTTTGAATACAGATAACATTAAGAAATTCTTTTTAAAATTCAGAAAGTGCAGTTAGCTTAGTTCTTGGAAGTCAGCTACTTAACTACTGATTACAGCCTGGAAGGCACATCCCACTGCGGCGCCTGCCTGCAGGAAGCGTTAGCAGCGCCGCTTTCCCTGATGGATCGTTAGTTTTGTTTGGAATCACATACCTCCATGATCTCCAACAAAGCCTCAGTAACAGTTTCCAATGAAGTCAGTGCGAAAGTCTCCCGTTCATAGGAGCCAGGTGAAAACGATCTGTCTCGATAGCTGGATCGGAACGCTATCACTGCGGCCGATTTCACTTTGCTGATCCCAAACAGCAAATAAAATTTGGGCAGAGAGAACTCAGTCAAGCTCAGCCTTAAAACTTGCTTGGTCTCCTCTGTTGAAAAATTTTTACATATTAAATTTAAACCACTGAAATCTAATCCATATTTCAACACTCTTAGACTCACCCTCCCATGAACACAAGAATAGATAATTATCCTATATGTCACTTGGCACCTTCCAATACTGGAATTTTCTTTGCTGCTGTTGAAACCAGTCACCAGGGAGATGTATTCTGAACACAGGTAGGAAGGAACTTGTTTACAGATGTGTTTCTGTGAGACTTCTCCTCACACTGCTTCAGAAAATGGGAACCTGGAGAGTTCCTGCTTTGAAATACCAACAGGAATGTCAGTTCAAACTGCAACCAAATTCTGCTTTTGGCTCTGGCACCAAAATGAAGAAAGCCACTTATATGAGCAGAAAATGGCAGCCCTGCTACTAGCACTGAATATTTGTACAGTTCTGTATTTTCATTTAATTTCAGCACACTTCATTTCACACACAAACTTCATTGTTTAAACAGGAAGGTTTGTCTTTGTGTGTCAAATGAAAGCTTTTCTTTATACGTATAAATGTATGGCTGTGTGTGCATTCATATGCTCACTCTGTTGATATCTATAGATATAAAATGAGATTTCAGATACTTAAAAAAGACAAGATTACATAAACTTTTAAATTTTTTCTGCACAAGATCTAGCCTGGTTTAATACTGTACTTCTGTGGTAAGAAGTGACAGCTACATATTTGCTAATACCAATTATTTTAGGACTACTAAAATACAGCAGTATGCAAAATACCTGTTTTAACAGAATAGTTTCACAATTCCCTTATGTAATTGATATTTTTGTTACCACATTACGCAACCATTCAAAAGATGCACATCAGCCAGTTTTAGCACAGACGTATTTTCTCCTTTCTCTGCATTACAGGAACCTCCTAGTACTTTCTTCTCTTTTTCTAAAACCCGTTATACAATTTACATGATGCACCTGCTCTACACCAGACAGTATTTTTTTAATTCCATACTCATTTGTTGTAGATCGCATCCTCACGCAAGCTGAATTACAACACGGTACATTCAAACTCTCAGAACAGTTTAAAGAGAGAAAGACAACTCAAATATTAAACAATCTAAGGAGCAATGAGCTTAACTGAAAATCTGAAAAAAACCCCTTACCACTAAAGTGAAGCTGCGAACAGGTGCAAAGAGAATGAATGATGTTGATGACGAGACCATGGGTGGAAGCTCTGAGAGAAAGGGGACCAGTGGCCACCAACAAAGTAACCACGTGGAAGAGGTAGGGGAGATGTGCTGCCACGTCCAGAGAGTTGTTGAAGGAGAGCATCAGCATGTAACGTGCCAGAATAGCGATGTCGTCCCACATCAGATGCTGTTCCAGGGTAGGAGTTGGAGACAGACAGGTCTTGTCGATTATTTTACACATCCTTCCAATCACCTGCAAAGTCAGCAACCATTTTGCTTTACACAAACAAAGATCAGAGCTCAAGAATTCAGTAAAAGCCATTAAAATTTAACATTGCTATTATTCTATTGCTTGGAACCTATTTTATCATGTTGTTTGCATTGTTGCCTGTGCTGAGTTCTCAGAAAGCATCTCTGTGTCACATTACTATATGAGCTGAAATTATTATATAAAAGGAAATGAAGGCAAAGAGGGAACTCACTTTACTTGAAACCAATTTTACATTTCCAGAAGCAAGTGCTACAGCTGTGTCTGCCATAACCTCAGCTTTTATGGATCCCAAGCCCCCCGTGGCACTCGTTTTGATGAAGCTGTCCAGCACTACATCAAGGAGATCTGTTATCTGTTAGAGAAAGAAAATCCCTTTTTATCAGTCGGATTAACTTTATTTTTCCACAATAAACCACCTTTTAAACAAGCTATCATTCATTTCTCGAGCTGAAGATGCATAACTACCATAAACTGAAGCATCAGCTTTAGTGATATGTTATCCTTCTGCAAAATAGTCTAACCTAAGTATCAGAAGTATAAAGATTAATTCCATCACGTTTGACTCCAGATCCAAGTGCTTCAGAACTGTGGAGGAACTATAATTTAGTTTGTATTTTTTTAAATTTTATTTTCCATTTTAAAGTATAACTATTCATTAAATGCTGAGCCTAAGTAAGAAGAAAGTGGATTTGAAGTGGTGGAAAAAACATACTTCCAAGAAAACAAGCAAGATCTCATCTGTCAAAGATTTTGCTTAGCGCGTTAGCCATGTGTGAATGCGGCTACCAGGAAAAAGCTTTTTCTCATGTATCAAATTAAAAAAAAAAGTAAGACTCAAAGCTTTGTGATGCTGCATCAGTTTGGATGAGTTAACAAAAATAAAACAGTATGACAATGAGGAAGTTGATATCAAGGTGGTGAGCAGGTCTCTTATCTAGACTCCTCCTTCACAAATGACGTATATGACATCAGCTTTGTTTTTTTTTTATTTTCTTTACTTTGCAGGGAGGGTGAGGACAGAATTTGGCAATGACGTATATGACATCAGCTTTGTTTTTTTATTTTCTTTACTTTGCAGGGAGGATGAGGACAGAATTTGGTGAAGTGTTAAGCTAATGATCAACTGGAAGACTGATATTCTATTAATTGTAATTACAATGTTTCTGTTTTAAAAGTGTAAACAGAAAAAAAAAAAGAAAAAAGTTCTTTCAATGCCACCCGCCTACGACAGCTCTGAATGCCAGGACTTTGTTCTCTCCATCCAACATCCATGCATCCAGGGGTTTGGATTAAATAACGACTTCTAATACCAAAGATTTTTAACTTTCAGTTCTCCCTGGGGGCCAGAGTTCATTAATGATTTTATGAAGTACTCTCTAGAATGGAAACTTCAGAACTTGCACCCAACTCTCCACACAGCTGAAATACTCAGGTCATGTCAAGATCCATTTCAATTTCCCGCATTAACATTTAGGTGGTTAAAAACTCTATAATCTGCTGATAAACAACCTGGAATAAATTAATGCAGACTTTGTACCTGTCCAAGACTTCCCCAGATCTTAGCCTGAATAGAAGGATACATCTGTTTTTCATTTATTGTCATCGTTATCAGCTTATCGAGAATGGCAGTGACTCGCTGGCGCTTGGCATCATCATTGTGTTTACAGAATCGGACCAGATTGGACAGCCAGGGAGTCATGTACTCCAGACAGAGATGTTTCAGCTCAATACCTGAAACAAAAATTCACTTTGTAACACAAAATCAGCACTGGTCTCTATCGATGAGTAAATAGTTATTTGTGAGCACTTTTGCTTTCAGTTTTATTGTCTAAAATAATCACTATCAGAGCTGAGCAAATAATACTGGGCAAACAGACAAGCTTCAAACAGAAACAGACACTAATAATGACACCCAAGAAACTGCTGTAGGAACCTGGCAAGGAGATGTCGACATTTTAATGTCTTAAGAGATGTGACAAAGATGTGTACATGCAGGACTAGGCAGAACTACTTAAGATAATTTCTTTTTAATCTTGAGAATGTATTCTAAACAGCTTCCAACAGTGAAGTCAGAGCTGGATTATGCCTGGAAAAAAGGATGACAAAAGTAGTGCAACCAGATTTACAACTGAGAGAGATCATCAATCCGAAAAGATTCATTGTGATATGACTAAAGAATCCTGTAATTCCATAATTTGCATATTCTGGAGTTCAAACTCTCACTATCATCGACCTCAAATTTTGATTTTTGTTCTGCAATATTCTCTATTTTTGGTGAATGAATAACAGCCTGATAGAGACTGATCCAAAGTACTCGCGCTACAAAACTATCTGCAGCGATATAAACCGAGTAATTCGTGCTGTGATCTCTCAGAATGAACTCGCTCCTCTAAACGAGAGGTCTAGTAAAACTTGTTTTAAAATTAATTTCAAAGTTTAAAAGGCATTTCCCTTTTTTTTTTTTTTTTAAAGTCTACTTCATGAGAAAGGAAAGGGCACAATCAAATGTGAAAAGTCATGTTTTTGCTCCAACAGATGCCGTTCCAGCCTGTGAAACTGCCTGGCCACAGAGTATTGCACAACTTGATCCTTAAGAAACAGATATAAATGGATAATCTTGAAAACAGCTCTAAGAAGCATTTGCAGTTTAAACTTACTGTGACTTAGTAAGATGAGGAAGCTCAATTGCCTGAGCTAGACAGCTATCAACTGAAATGTTTTCAAATTTATGCTTTGCATTAAGGAATACTAGTGATACTTACTAGATTTGCTAAATCCAGAGATACACTCCTCCAAGAACTCTAAGGTAAGGTGAGGTTCATTAGCTGCAAGAGTCTTACTAATAGATACAATAAACAGAGTGTTGTTGGCAGGAATACACAGACCTGAAGTTTCCAGTAACTGGCCCTCAATCTTTAAATTAAAGGTACAGGTTAAGGCACATAGAAGATTATAGGCAGCAGACCTGTAACAAAGCAAGCAACGTGACTTGTAATAGTTTTCTTGCACATTTTAACACACATGCGTTACACCAAGGCTCCACAGGAGCAGTACTGACATTTTAAACGTCAAATCAATACTGCTATGCAAGACATTACATTCAAATCCTGAACTTTCTCCCTGCACCAGTTAAAATTCAGAGACAACAACATTTGCCTTGAAGAAATGAAATAAATTACTCCTCCACTTGCTTTAAACAATTTCTGATGAGGTAAAAGAGTTACACTCGAAGGACTTTACACTGGACTTCTCAGAAAGGCCTTGAGTTCCTGGGAGAGAGACTACCAAGGGCCCCAGAGGCTGCCCTGGAGCCAGCACCCAGCCCGAGGCAGTCCTCAGACAAGATCCAAGAGCCTGCTCTAAGAGGTACAGCTCCCACGTTCTTAAACAAGAAGGTCAACACCATGAAAACCAAATGCACCTCAAAAGCTGATAGTGCAAAGCCCAAGTGGGAGCTTGTGCTCTCTTTGTAAAGAGAAATCAAGCTTCCTATACGCCAGTCTGTTTGCCTTTCTCCACCTCCAGAAAACCCAATCTGTCTTTATATTACAAAGTACATTTTATTGAGTTGTGGTGAAAGAAAAATTGGTTTTTTTCAAGAGAGATTTGCTAACACTAAGAAAACCTTGGAAAGAATTCACATTTTTAACAAAGTTGATCTAAATTGAGAAGATCCGTACCGCAAACTGGGGTCTGAGCTTCCCAGGTTGAGCAGCGCGATGTTCAGTAGCGTTCCAGGCACATCCTTGGGACGGATTTTAGTGTGCTGTGGGATGGAGTCTGGCTGCGACAGCTCCCACCGTGTCCGTATGTGAATGATGGACCTAACGATGGCTTCACACTCCTGGTGCATGAAGGTGAGTGGTGTGCCTTGGTTGGCAATGGTTAAGGTAAACTGGTTCTCATCAACAAGACAGATTTCCTCAATTTCAGAGGCATAGTAAATATCATTTAAAAACACTGTTTGTCCCAGGACTCTTGTTCGTTCTGCTGATGTCACCTGCACAGCTGTCGACCCAACCTTAGAAAGAAAACAGAAGAATGGTTCAGCACCTATTGTTAACAATGCAAAGTCTGACAACACTTCTAGTTTTATAAAGATAAATGTAAGAAATTTTATATTTCCTACAGAGGCACACTAGTCAGCTGTGACTTCTCCTCAAGACAGGAGAGGAGAGCTAAGAGACAGTAAAATCTTATTCAAAACCTTACAAAAATACAACAATTCACTAGGAACAGCACTGAAAGAACTTACTTTAATAGAAACTTTGGTGTCTTTATGAGCCAGTTTGAGAGCATTGTGGAACACTTTCAAGTCCTCCTCCAAAGCCAAGGTAGCTGCTGGGAGTTTCTGCTGGTCGTGTTCAATGTGCTCTGCCAGTTTCCCTGGACAGTCTATGAAAATAAGCCTTTTGCTTCCTTTCAAACCTGTCAAGAGCCTTTCGTGGTATTTGGTGTATTCTCTGACCCAAGAGTTACAGTTATAAATAAAAACTGCTGAGACGTTTTCATAAGCAAAGCCTGGAAAAACTACAAACCATTTAGAAAGAAAGTCTGTTTTAAAGCGATTACTGGGGCCGGCGTGTGTGAGGTCCACTACAATTTCATATGGCTTTGCATAGTATGGCTTCAGAGTGAGCAGGACGTGGTATATCAGTAAATCTCCATTGATCTGACCAGTCTTGAATCTGTAAGAAAGAAGACAGACACTGCTGGGTTTGCTTTTCCATCCACATTACCAAGGTTTGGATGGTGTATTACACACACCGTGACCACACCAACCAGATGGATCTTTCACGTAGCTCTAAAAATACCATCGACCCAAGGCTGTGACACTGAACCAGCACAACAGCCTAAAGGCAACTGTTCCTACTGTGTCATGGCTCACACTCCAACCAAGTCAGTGCCCAGTGTGATGAAGCTTGACTTGGGATTTAACTCAACTTCATTCTGAAGTGCCACACATCCTACCACAGCCAAGAAACCTCCAGCCAGACAGGAGGTTTCTTCAACTACAAGGGAAAATAAAATCCATGCTGGACAGCAACAGTGCATCCACTGGATCAAAACTGGATTACATGAAAAGAGCTCAGAGTTTCTTTAAAAATAAAAGTACAAGTCTCCTAAACTAACTTTTAAACCTGTTTAGAGATTCAAATTATATCTACTTTTAGAAGTGGTAAAATACATTTATTTCAGAAGTCATATTTAAGACTAATTAAGCATCCACGTACCAACTTTTTCAAAGGGTCTCACAGTCTTCATTTGCTACACTACAGCACACTAACACACCTGGTAGAGTGCTGCTAAGAATGGTCAGTCCCCCAAGTAGTACAGAGGATCTGTCTACAAAACAACTCTTCACAGAACAACGTCCAGGTAATACACAAATATTAAGAACCTTTTGTTCTCATTTAACGATTCTCTGAATGTTCTGAGACTGGGCAGCATACCCACCTAAACCGAGTCTCCAGAGTGAGCACAGCAGACAAAATTCAACTGGGAAGAATTAAGTAAAAATCAAACTCAGCAGTAGCTCAGGAACATCCAAGGTACTTTTAAATACCTATCACAGTTTGAAGCTTAGCAGTAACTCAACTGCTTCACAGCAAACCTACCGGCCATGGAAAGAGCTGATAAATCCCGTAAGCACGTGTGCAGTTCTGAGGGTACTGGGACACTGCTCTGGAGAACATTTGAGGTAAATCACCTGAGCAGAGGGTAACTGAGGAGATAAATCTCATCAGCGTTTGTCTGCTGAAGATACTCTTTTCTTCCCCTGTGTTACTTCCTGTTGTTCTGAGAGCTAATTTGGGCAAGTTGGTGTTTTTCCCCCTCTAACATGTCATGGTGTAGTTGTTACAAAAAGGAAGTGTGTCATCTCTGTGGTTTTAGTTCTCCACTTAGAGTAAACGACATAATTTCAGTTACAGATTTGCTTAAAAAATACCAGCATTGTCTCAATCTACTTGCTTTACATTAACAGTTGTTTGCATCCTACGAGCAAATATACGCACAAAGACATTTTGTTGTTAAAGAACCAAGTATCTGAAACATCGGTTTTCTTTTGACTCCATCTTGGCAAGGTAAGTACACATTTTCCTTCTCCTGTTTTAAGTTCCACTTCAAAGTTTCTTAGATTTTGTAGAAAATTATATGCAAAAGTATTTTTAAAGAAGTTTGAGTAACTCAAAAAATTGTAACAAGCTATAAAAAGATTCTTTCCGGGTGACTGAAGGAAGTTGGTGTCAGTGTGTGTTCAGCAATGTTAAAGATTATTCATAATCAGACTCTGAGGAATCCACAGCGACTCTCGCTGCTTCGCTCTGTTGTTCTTGGGCGCTGCAGATCTTACTGTGCCCTGACAGACGACCCCAGGGATACAGGCACAAAGGGCTGAACTAAAAAGAAAAACCAGCTCTTTGATGGCCAGTTCCTTTGCTCTCATGTTTTGAAGCGAAGCCCTTAACAACATCAGCCTGTTTATTTTTAAGAAAAGCACATCTGGTCTAGACAGTGACAATTCGCACTGGACTCCCCGTCCTCTCGGAGGGAGCAGGCAGAGTTGCAGAGTTGTTGGAGTTTATCTGGACAGGCTGCAGGACATGCAGAAACTTTATGTGAAATGTTGTTTTGTTTCCAAAAACAGGTTTGCTGGTTTTGCTTTGCTCCTTTTTAAGGTATGCTCCAAGGCAGCCTCTGCCACGGAAAGATAAAAATCCTACCTGAGCTGTAGCCCATTACTGCCATGTTCCTAAATTAACAGTAAGGATTCATCTCGGCATGGAGCCTGATTTTATGTTATGGGTGAACTGCAAAGTTAGAGATACATTGATCTTCCGCTGTTCCTTTGTCACGTAAGGAGACACCCATCGTTTGTTCCCTGGTTACCTGTCAGGCACATCACTTTCCTTTTCCCGAAGGACTTCAGCAATCCGAAGGACTGCCGTTTGGATTTTGCAGGATAGGGAAGTTCACCCCTCTGATTTTTGGGAGTGAACATATTATGTTCTTTGGTAGGCATGGTAACTTCTGAGTGTGATAAACATTGCCTGGAATATTTCAAAATTACCTGATCTTACAAACACACAGAAATGCTTGGTTACCTTTAAAATAATAGTTTCAAGAACAAATGTGTTTCTAAAAATAGCCCTGTTACTTCTGGTCATTCTCTGTACTATTTCTATTTGAAAGAAATGTAGTTTGTGACGTTCAAAGGAAGAATTTTGTTCTTAGACATTCTGTGTAACAGAACATATTAATGGTAATATCATCTCAGGTGTTTTAAAGAAAATGTCACAATCTGTATGCAGCATGTTTGTGAGAAAAATCTGTGGTAAGTACATTTGTAATAAATAGGCTTTTGTAAAATAAAGCAGAAAAACTAGCAAACAAAAATCTTCCTAGGCATTTCTGAAATACACCAGACAGCTGAGCTAAGAAACAGAAACAATTAAAGTCAGTCACTGCTGTCACTTACAGGAACATTTTAGATGAAGGTTTTTCACCTGACTGTCTTTACAAGCATCGTTACATTTCCCCCATTCAGGGGAACACAGGAAAGTCCAAAGCAGTAATCTGTAAACTTTACATGTTTTAGGGTAAGGGCTTCTCCTCTTGCTGTGTAAAAGCAGAACTGATCCACTTTGCGTGGTAATTTGGGCAGCTTTAAAGAGGAGGAACTACCAAAGAGGAGGAACTACCACAGCGTCTGCCTCCACATCACTGAGTGCCCGCAGGAAACACTTTCCTCTCTCTCTGCTCCATGTTCTTTTTTAATCTTCATGTATTTTCTATGAAGCTCAAACTGTCAGAGGTTTCAGACAACCTGCTCTTTCAGAATACCAAGTACTTGACCTCTTCTTCCTAAATGCACTAAAAATGAGGTCAAGTTACATATTCTTCATCAAAAAGTCTGCTGCCTACTGCTCCCAGAGAAATCCTGATTCAAACCCCTCAGAACGACTATTTGCTAAACTAATACCATGATTTGTATTTTTGCAGGTGACTAAACAGGAAGATGAAGACACAGAGCCATAGTAAACCACATTTTGCTTTCCCTGTCATGATAATCTTTTTTTTGTGTTTGCAAACAAGCGCAAACCGTACCGATTATCCCAGGGTTATAACTGATACCTGGAATCCTATCAGCCAAAACCTAAGTGGAAGCCAGAACATAACAGAAGCCAAAACAAACCCTCCTCTGAGCATCAATTTCAGCAGCAAAACAACCACTTCTGAAATGCAGACAAGTACTCAGACATCCTTATCCTCCACAACGGCCCAAAATTCAACATCTTCCCCTGCCAGAAGTGCTGTTTCTGCTACTGGAGGACCCAGGAACACCAGCAAACCCAGGAGTACAACGACAAAAGAAACATGTGAAGACAACAGGTCTCTCATACTGATTTGCTTCATTATAATAGCAGTACTTGTGCTTATCTGCACCTTCTTATTCCTGTCGACTGTCATCATAGCAAACAAAATGTCCTATCTCAAAAAAACTCAGCAAGGAAAGCGGAGGCCCAGGAGCAACGGTGATATTCTGGCGACTAACAGTTTATGGCCAACTGCAGCAGGAACGTGGCAGAGGATGCCCAAGGAGACAACTGGAACTGACCTGATAATGCAAGACTTGGTATCAGGGAGAGATGCTGCGATCCAAAGGACAGCTGAAGATGAAACTACTGAGAAACTCACTAAAGGAACAGATAACGAACAGGAAAATAAAGAACCAAAGTCACACAAACCCATTTTAACCAATTTTATAGTTGAGATTTAATTCATGCTCAGGTAAAAACCTCACCTTTTGTCTTTTTTACATCATTGTAAATAACTGTACACATTTTGCTAAGGCAAAAAAATAGCTTCCAAGTAACAAGATGAATTTTAACACAAGAAAGCTAAATTCAGACCTTGGGGCTTTTCCTTTTACGACAGTGGGAATGCTGTAGCAACCCGCAGACCTAGAACGGAATAAGACTGTGCTAAACAGCTTTCTGTAAGTAGTGTCAAGACCACCAGTTTCACTCCTTTGACCAGAAATCATGGTGAGAAAACAAAAAGAGAGAAGTCTGCCCATTCTCCACGATCACTGGGGGGGAACAACACACCATAAGGTGCTACGCAGGTATAACCCAGTCGCTTTTTAAAGAAAAAACATCACTCAGTCACAACTTGGATTCAGGAACCAGTCCCTCTCAAATCGCCCTTTCAGGTTTTTCCATCAAGAACTTCTTAAACCAGCTTAATTGCTTTTGAACCAGACTGAGATTTCAGTCATATTTATTGTGTTTTGATTTTGTGTATGAATATATGAAGTTTGTATTTTATGTTAGAATACGAGAACTGTTTCAATTTGTTATCTCCAATAAACTAGCAACATAATTTTTAAAATAACTTGTGATACTAATTCTGTAAGTCAAAATATTACAAAAAATATCACACAAGAAAGCATTTTTTAATATTATATTCCTATAACCTTTGCTGAAGGTCAGTAAAGGTCTCCTCTGATGACCAGCTGTGCTTTCTTGCACCACAGAAACACACTCCACTTTGTCCTGACACAAACAATTAGAACACGTCAATAATTTATTCAAAACCACCACAACGTCTCGTTTCTTTATTCTCAGAGACCCGATTTTCCCATTTTCCGGGGAGACGTGTGTACCTGGGCTCACTACAGCAGAGCTTTGCTATTTTAAGGAAACTTGCGAAGCTTTTCACAGGCTGCTTCTTGGGTTAAAGAACTTCTGTTGCACCATGGTTACAAGTCCTAAAGCTGCATAACAACAAAGCTCTAAACATCCTGGGCATCTGCAATAAACATTTTTGCTATGAGAGATGCCTGTATGAGTTTGAAATAATGAGGATATGACTGAATTCCCAATTCATATTCCATTACAACACTCATAAACTCATTTTAAAAGGCAAGTAAAGAAGCAACAGAGAAGCAAGAGAGTATCATGGAAGTCAAGAGAGCGCAAGATCTCAAAAAAATGCAATTGCCTGTGTCAAAGGTGGTTTGTGGAGTAGGGAAGATAAAGGTGGGAGGAGTTTGCAAGCTTAGCTCACAACTGGGAGTCATTAGAAAATAAGTTCATCGGAGATGGAAAAAAATAAATCTGCCCAAACCCACATATTCAGACCTTAGAGCTCCAGGGGAGGAGGTGCAACACAACACACAAGCAGAAGGGCAGGACAGAGGATTATGTCAGGCGTTTCCAAAACATGAGGAGAAAAGCCAGGAGAAGAATCAGGGCAAACTGTGACAGATCAGTGATGACAACCTAGTACTCAGAGGAAACAACTGCGAACATCTCACACTGGTGACAGGAAGAGAGCTAAAGGGCAGGGTTGGGGGATGCTGCAATGCAGTTCCCTTCTCCTTCCCCAGAAGGACCATGAGATCAGGAGGCAACAGCAGAGGCTGTTCAAGTACTAAAAAAAGAATCTGAGATAGCAAACGTCAGAGTCTAACCTGGTGTAGGAAGGTAACGGAACCGAAACGGGAGCGGATCTGTAAGAGTTCACCAGTCTGCAGACAGGAACACAGCACATTGTCAGTGGGCAGCAGATTAAAGGGGTAAACCAGGAGTGTCACCAAAAAAACAGGTAAAAAAGGAAAGAATCACGAGCATATTGGTGGAAAGAAGGAAAAACAAGAAGGAAAAAAAACTGTCAATGAGGTGGGAACTGTGGCAAAAGGCAGGTGGAGACTGTGCGGGTTGAAGAGAACAGGGATGAGATGAAGGAATCGGAGAAGACACTGTGAGTTCTAATGTGAGTACGGGATCAGGATTTGTGTTTGCTGCAGGAGCAGGGAGAGTGAAAAAGAGAACTAGTGCAATCAGAAGAGAAGCAGGAGGAGATGAAGAAGCTGCGGAAGCTACTTGGCACTGGCAGGATATACTTGCAAAATACCACGAGGAGATATCTGTGAGGGTTTCTTTTTGCCAGGCAGCCTTCCTAGGCAAAAATGCTCAGGGAGACAAAAAAAGTAGGTTGGGTTACACTCCATGGTACAGACAAAGACAGACAGTGGGAAAACAGCTGGTCAGAGAGCACAGCCCTCCATTAACAACGGCAGCAGGTCCCAAAGTTGTCCAGACAGAAAAATAACATGGCGAGGAGGGGAAGGAGAAGGGTGAATCTGTAGTTATCTGCTTTCTAACGCAACCACACAAAGGAGGACGCAGAAGCAAGCTGGCATCCTGCGATCAGATCTCTTTCTGTGACTCACTGTAATGAACCTCAAGTTGCTTTTCCACTAATGATGATGAGAGCACGCACACAGAACAAAAGCCACAAACACTTAAATATTTGAGTTTTATAAAAACAGAGCTGAAAAGTTTGCTCCTAAGGCATGCAGCTCTCTGTAACCTCCCCACTCTCGACATTTCCTGCAGCAAGCGTTGGCAAACTTCCTTTTCAGCTGCACAAACCTACTTCAACATGAAACGAGCCATTTTAAGCTGCTTGACCCTCAGCACACGGTCTCTCTTCTTACGGCTTCAAACAGATGCTGCTCGCTTGAGAGAAGACAAATGTGCAGGTAAGAATCCACTTCAAGATGGGAAAGCTTAACATTTGTATTGCTTGGTGTGAGATGGAACTGCCCTGTGTGGCACCGTGAGTGCCCCGACTTCAGGGCGTATGCAAGCTCTTGCTGAATCTCTGTGTCTTAAAAGCATGAGGGTTTCAAATACGTGTTGTTTGATGCTGTTACTATGAACTATCAGCAACTCCATATTATTTGACTGTATTTTGAAAAGAGGGGAGCAGAAGAAAACTAAATTGAATGATTTTTACCTGTTATAAACCTTACAGAGTTTAGATCGTAACGTTCTCAAGAAACACTAATTTACTAATCATAGGTGTTTACCCTGTTATCTGAAATTTAGTTTCACATATTCATAAACCCACCAAGATTTACACATATTAATTTCCCAGGAACAGCTTCACATGACTAGCATTACAGTAACTAATAAATTAGCTCAAATTGCATGACAGTAACTTCAGATATAAAAATGCAATGTAGTGGATGGATTTGATTATTTGTTTCATACAGAGACCTTCAGAGACCTGAACTCTAAACAGTATGGGGAGGGAGAGAATTTAAAAAAAAAAAAAGTCTGTCATTTTATCAACATTAACACAATCTCCTTCTTTGCAGAAAAGTGTTCCACATGGAGGAATTTAGTAATAAAACCAGTTTAGCATTAGAATGCCATTCCATTACAGCATCAGTATCTGGAAACTTTAAAAAAATTATTACACTCTACCCTTAACTGCTGAAGAGAGGCAAGAACAGGAAATAAAAGTTTAAGAGAACTGTAAGGAGCCTGACTTCGGTCTCAGCTCAAACCCATCGAAACAAGACTATTTTCTTTACTCGTGCCAATCCTGGTTGCCAACACCGCTGTGAGTGTTTCATGTTTTGTCCCAGGACCAGAACCATTTACATGATTGATAAACGTTGTTGTCTTGACACACTGTTAGGACTTCTCTGCTGATGCCTTTTTCTGGTAAGGTGAAAAAAGGTAATAATAATAAAGACCCTCTCTTCAAAGTGACTTAATTAGACTGATCAATAAAGGTGAAAACCTGCCTGTTTGTAAAGTCAGCGACAAACCTGCTGATTGTGCAAACTGAACAGACCCGGCATTTTAGACAGAGCTGAAAATTATTTTCACTACTACAGTATTAACATGAAATTGTCTGGTGTCAGTAAAGCATAACTACACCACAAACGCC